TTCTTGAGAACTTACCTGCAGAAATCTACTGTGCTCAGTATTTCTGTAGAGACTTGTATATAACAAGTGCTGTTGCTTTAGGAAATGAATGTGTAGAGTTGTTCAGAAATATACTGGACTCTAAATGGTTTATATGAAAGCTAAAAACTTGTAGCCATTCTAGTTAATCAGCACGGACGTGCTTTGTGCCTCAAACTTGGCTTAGGCAGCCTACAGTTAGTATAGTGGCAAGTTAATCCTGATAGAACAGGTCACTGGCTAGGTGAGCCACAAGCAGCCCACTAATTCCAGCCTTGAATCGCTCGCTTAGTCTCACAGACATGCTGCCAAGTTAGTATTAAGGTATGTCAGATACTCTCTTCAAATGAATGGACTCAACAAATTCCTTTCCTGTAACTTCCCTTTTCTCATTCTTCTGTAGATTGTAGTGCGAAACTCCGAACTGAGATACAGAGGTGTTATTTGTGCAGTACTGAAGCTCGGACTGTAGCCTGGATTATTACTGGGAGAGTTAAGAATAGTAACTCATTCTCTGAAGAGCCGGATGACTTTTGACGTTCACCAGTCTATCTTTGTTAAACAAGATGGTAATTACAGATAATAGCGCATTGCAGACTAAATTCACCTTGCCTAATAAAGGCAGTAGGCAACAGAGTGGAGTCTGAACGCTGGCAAACTACCAAATCTGAAGAAATTGCTCATAAGCACCTCAGACAGTGTTGTGACTGGGTATTTGTTTGCTCAGGTACTCATGCTGGAGAAGACGAGCAGCAATCATATGCTACGGCTGTAAGCCTATAAACAGTATGTGTCTTTTCTGCAAAATAGCCAGCCAAAACTTGCTGGTTTGCAATCACTTCTCTTAATAACTTGTTATGGATATTGAAAAATAGTCTTACTAAACTGGAAAAAGCCTGAATAAGTGAAAGTGAAAAGGACGTGGCCTGAACTGTTGTGGAACATAAGAATCTTGTGCTCTGGCTTAAATGCTGTCCTACCCATCAGTTTGTGTATGTGACATGACCTTAATTAGTGCTTTCCAAGTTGAATAGCTTGGCTACAGCAGGTTTTGTTGGAATACAGCTCTGATAATTTCTTGAAACTGGGAGCTGTGTAACAGCCTGGAAGTGAAGGTGGAGCAATTGCCTTTGCAAGCTCTAGTTCTGCAGCACAGTACTCAGCTGTCATCAGGAGTAGCCTTGTCTTTCTTTTTAACTGTCCTTAAGGTTACTTAAGTATTTCTAGTGATACTAAAAAGTGAATATGCTTGTAGAAGTTTTTTAGTGAGTGTTGTCGTGTCTGAGTAATATGATGAAAACTTCCAGTTATTCAAGCACATTTTCTTTAACAACCCCTGCCCTCCCCTGCTGCTTGGTGGGAAAGAAAAGCCACCTAAAATTGGTCCTTGTTTTTTGATACTTTTATTTTCTTTTTTTCCCTGGACATAGAACTGACTGAAGCTACCTGTCACTTTGAGGTTTTGTTTTGCTTTGCCATCCTGTAATGTAAACAAAAATTAAGTTTTAATAAGATTACTGTGCAGTAGAACTGCTGGAGTTCAGGAAATTTGTTTTTAGATACTTTGGCTTGATTTTTAACTGATGAGTTATCCTAAGTGTTTTTATGTGACTATCTTCAGTGACATTTAACAGCCAGTGTGCTAGTGTTGCTCTCTAAACCTGCAGTTTCAGGCATGTATAGACTGTAGTCTGTAATAAGGAGACTTAAGAGTAAGTATTAAGACTTAAATCGTTCAACTTGATTTCCCATATATGGGGTTAAATTTTTATCACCAGCTAGTTGCTATGTTATTTATGTTTGGTCAAGGTCTAGCTGAGATTATACACTGCATTCAAAATAGAACAGCCTGAAGGAATTAAAACTTGTTTTAATTACTAGAATTTAATTACACTAAAACAGCTTTAAGCCTCAAAACAGGCTTTTGTTCATATACTATTCAAGTTTTTAAGTTTGAGAGAGTAAACCTTCAGATGTGAATTTGCTGTTTAATTTGGGTGTTCCTGTCAACTCACTGCTACAGCTGTGTGCACAGGGCGTGAGACTTTGATTTTTATGTTTTTGAGGCTGCAATCCATTTTCACCAAAAACGCTGACTTGACAAATTCCTGAAGTATTTTAGTCAGGCTTATTTCAGCACTATTTCTAGCAGTAACTGGTAATCTGCTAGCATAACGGGTAAATAATGCTGCTTGAAAGGTTTACTGAGAGGTTTTGGTGATTTAAAAAAAAAAAAGATTATGGGCTTGGTTTCATCTTCAGTTAAGAAAAACTGGCTGAGATGTACTGACTTTTGTTCCCCTTCCCCCCTTTTAACGGCAGTAGTTATTGCCACACTTGTTGAGGTTAGAGGAACAGTCGCTAGCAATTCAAAGTAAATATTGCAATGCACTTTCCTTACAAACAACCTAAAGATGCAGAGCAAGGACCTAGCTTCTGAAATTGGAGGACTAAGTATTTTACTTGGGTTAGCAATGTCTTAGGCTGAGATCAGCGTTCTCTGCCCCATTAATGTAAATGAAGTACAAAATCTCCGGACTCAGTAGTAATGTTTTAATGAGATTTGCTCTTCATTTGGTAAAAGGGAAAAGAAACAGCTTTAGAAATTAAAACTTTCATCTAGAGCAGGTGAATTGCTGAAAAGAAGGTAGGTGTTTTCAGGTCATTAAAAAGAGTGCTGAAGTGGCGGGTCAGCACGATGGCAGTGTCACCTGTTTGGCGTGTGTTACTGTGACCCTCTCTAGCATATGGATCCAGGAGCAGAAATCTTGCTTCAGTTTAGTGGTGAATTCCTAATGCTGGCAGGCTTCTTAGATATGTATACTTGAGTATCTCTGCCATCTGCACAGAACAAATAATCCAATCCAATTAAGACAAATCTAAAATCTCTAGTAGAAGACACTTTAAGCCTTAGATTGTACGAGCTGCTGCTTATTTGCACACTAAAAAGTGTTACTGCTTTAAAACCACCTTGCTTTGAGTTGGCAAGTTAAATTAGAAGAAAACTCCATACATGTTGCATGATACATTAGTGAAAACTGGTTAAACTTTGTGACCCCAAGAGATGTATCTTAAAACTGAGTGAAGTGTATATACTGTGATCTCTTAGCCTTGTCATTCTAAAAGTTACTTGGTGTTTCTAGGTCAAATTAAAACTGTGCACAATCTCCTGCTTTATCTGAAAACCAAGGTGCATACAGATAGTAACTACAATTTATGTTTCAGAACAGGTATCATGAATTCTTGAGGTCTGAAAATGCATAACTTCTTAGAAGGAGTAAGTGGGCAAGTAGGTGCAAGTAAATAGCTTTTCAAGGTTGGGTATGGAGGAAGTTGGGTTTTTTTTGCCATGAGAAGTGCCTGCCAGTGCACCCTGCACTTCTGTGTTTCAAGGAGTGACCCTGATAAAACAGTGTTGTAGAACACTGAAATTCAATTTTAAGCAAATCTGTAGGTATTTTGTTAAAATGACAAGGCAAACCAAAGTAGTTGCTTCTCCTAGTCTTGCTGCATACCTACTCTTGTGGCCATTACTATAGGCATATTAATATAAGTCAGTAACCAGTCCTGAGGTACTTGTTTCATTGAGTTATTTAATTCCCTTTCATGTGATCTGCTGTCAGATCATCTTTGGAGTAGTAAAGGAGTGTTTAACAGTCATTGGGTGACACAGGAGGTTTGGATGTGCAAATGTAGTAGGATGTTTAAATGCTGTGAGTTGTGTTTTGCTTATGTGGAAAATAGAAGTGAGTTTAGAGGTGCTTCATAATTCTTGTCCTGATTGTCTCTTCCAGCCTTGTCACATTCCCTCCTTGCACTGACATTGTGTAGGGGGAAGTGGGGTGTGGAACCAGGACATCTGTTCCCTACTGCTCATAAGGTTGGATCATTTTCAGACAGGGCCAGGAAACTTTTACTCATAACTTTGTAGCCAGATATATGTGATGAAGAGTAAAGGAAGCTGTCTCTGCTGCTAGTAGATGTTTGGGAAACTGCTTGGAGTAGGTACAGGTCTGAATTTCCAGCACAACTAGATGACCAGTTCTGCGTTGCTGGAGTTGACTTTGTTTGCTTCTCTCAAACTTCAAACAACTGAATATAATTTTTTTTAACCCTACCACATTGACATATGTGGGAGATATTTGACCCTGACCTCAATAGAATATCAGTCACCAAAACCCAAAATGCTAAAGAGTGATAAGCTGCTTCAGTTTGGACAATGCAAGTATTAATTGAATAAGCTTGCATTATTGGAATTTACACTGCGGGTTAATTCTCTGAATATCTAATTTGAATTGGCACTAGAAATCCCAATACCTATTCTTGGGATAAGAAGTTTATATGAAATACAAATGGTGCTGTGAAGCCTAAGGTGGTAATGTCACCTAATAAAATGTGAATTTTAAATATTTATGTTTTTTCAAGTGACTTTCATGGGACATACCGAAAGCCTGAGCTTTTCCTCTTCAGTATCTTTAAGAATGTTTTTAAAGCTGTTGAACTGGATCACCATTCAGTAGAGAAACGTTGAATTGGCTTGTCTTGAGGGTGAGGAATAACGTGAGCTGTTTTGTACAGCTGTGCTTTGAAGACTCTCTCCTTCAGAACACTGTCAACCTAGTAATCACATTGGAAGGAAAAGTCAGTTTTCTCTTGCCAGCTTAAGGAGTAGAAAACCTGAAGCATTTGTGAAAGTCCATAATAAAGGCATCTCAGATTAATTGCATGTGGCTGATACTATCTAAAGTCTGCAGAGTGTCTTGAAACAGGGAAGCCCATTTTAGCTTCTCAATTTCCCCTATAAAGTGTTGCTTAAGTTATCTTTGTGATGTTTGCCTTCGTTTAGTTCAAATACTGGAAGGGGAGAGTAATAATTTCTCCTAATGTTTGTTCACACAGCACGGTTGGATGGAAAGTAGCTGGGAGTGGTGGAGGGCTGTCCAAAGCACTATATCCTGATGTCTGTTCTTTTTTGATTTCAGGCAAAAGTAAAGAAGCTGAGATAAAGAGGATAAATAAAGAACTAGCAAACATTCGGTCAAAATTTAAAGGTAAGTGACTTCATCATACTAAGCTATCCATATTTCCTTACATGGCATTCCTCTGTGGGTTTTTGTTTTGTTTTTACATGGTTATACTTTTTTGTCAACTGCTGATGCAAACAAAATGCTAGAGCAGGCTTTTAGAATATGATTGAAAATGCTCTCTTAATTACAGAACTTCTTGACAGTCCTGTGAGTCTTGGCCATATGTCGTGTTTTATGCAGTTGCTTCATCACCCGATGTCTCCTCCTCACGTGGGGAAGGGGGGTCAGGAGAAGGAAAGGAGTGTTGTTGATTGAAATGGAAATAGATTTAATGAAATAATAATAAAACCTAATATTAATAACAGTATTAATATAAACTACACAGTTATACTCAGCCAGTAGTGTGGGGGAGTAGGCCTCAGGGTTGGGATGGTAGAAAAGTCCCTCTTGAGATGTCAGTCATGGAAGAGGAGGGCATCCCCAGCAAACTCCCCCATTTATAGTGAATGTGATATTTGTGGAATGGAATAGTACTAATTGGAGTCATCGTGGGGCCAACTTCCCTGGGCTTCCCCTTCCCCCAGCCTCTGCACCTGCTTATCTCAGGACTGCTGAAGACCTTGAGCCTCACATACAAGCATTAGCTGAAATCTATAACAAAGTCTTATCACTTTGTTCCCATGAAACAGAGTGGTGTCGTCCTTACAAAATTGCAGTTTTCCTGAACAGAAAACTGACTCAAATTCTGTCACAGTAAACCAGGACACCATGACAGAAGAAAACTCCCTCCTGTATCAAAGAATTGAGCTACTGTTCACAAACCTTTTCCAATGCTTTGCCTAACTGTGACTACTCAGCCTGTTTTCTTCCAGAATGCTATTAACTAGATTGAAGAAACACGAGTGGATGTAATTATTTTGAGTAAAACAGAATCAGTTTAAACTACTTCTTTCCCCACTCTACCACGCCCCTCCTGCTCCCTGTAGGAAAGTAATGGGTTAGGCTGTCTTCTAGCAGAATTAAGACAAAAATGTGTAGTTGATGAAGCCATACGTCTTGACTATTCCCGTAAGCAACAGCAATATAAATTATCCATATGAAACAAAGAATATGCAGTGACTAATTCCATCCTTGTGCATTCCAGGAGGCAGCAGTTCACATTAAATAACTCATGGTAAAGCTCATGCTGTAACTGTTCAAGCTATGAATGTGGCTTCAAATTTTAAAGGTTCTGAGGGGTAGTTGAGATGCTTTTGAATGGAGTTCTACCAGTAATGCCTGTGGCAAACATGTTTAAATAGATACGGGGCTTTGTGTGTAGCTAGATAAGGTGTTGCAGTGGAGACCATATATGTGGCTTCAGAATTTGCTGTATTCAGATTAAACCTGTTTACCGAAATTATCTCTTCTGACTTAGAGTAGTATATCTATTTGGAATACCCAGTGCATTAAAAAAGCATAGAATTACTTTCCTGAACTTCACAGGGATCTGTGGCTACTTGTTAAGTGGTAAGTCTCTTAAAGGCATATGAAGACCTGCAAAAACTTGAGTGTCAACAACAGCTTGGAAGGAAAAAGTAGACCACAATGCAAGGCAGACAAGCAAAGTTAAAAAACTCTTCTAAATTAGAAGCCGTCACATCCCTCTTTGCTAACATTTTTCTCTTGGAAATTTCAGCATACTTTATCCAGATCAGTTATAGGATAACTGAGGAAATGTTAATGGCTATTTTTCTAGCATAAATAGAAAAATGAACTTTGATTTAGTCACCTCCTTATGCTAACACATTGTTTTTCATTTCCTTCTCATTGCAAAGCTTCCATCTAGCACTGATGTTGGTCTCATTTTTGCCAGAAGTATCACAGAATGTTAGGAAATGGAAGGGACCTCAAAAGATCATCCAGTCCAATCCCCCTGCCGGAGCAGGAACACCTAGATGAGGTTGCACAGGAAGGCGTCCAGG